TACTCTCCCCAGCCCCCTCTTGTCTTCCTCCTGTCTTTGTCACCCTCCCCCCAGATCCCTTGACCCCCATTCAGACCATAGGGGTGTTTGTCTGTGTGAGTTGGTGGAAGAAGGAGGTCATTTCAAAATGAAATTTTGAGGTCTGTGTGACAGCAGGAAGGTGTAGCGTTGTTACAGGGAGAGTGGGGCCCTCTGTCCCAGCCGCCCGGCTAGCTTACACCAGAAATAGTCACACAGAAACTGTATTCATTAAATTACTGCTTGGCTTATTATCTCTAGCCTCTTATTGGCTAACTCTCACATCTTGATTTAACCCATTTCTATTCATCTGTATCATCACGTGACAGTGGCTTACCAGGAAAGAGTCAGCATGTCTGTCTCTGGCAGCTTCATGGTGTCTCTCCCTGACTCTGCTTCCTTCCTCCCAGAATTCAGTTCTGTCTTCTCTGCCTACCTAAGTTCTGCCCTATCAGGCCAAGCAGTTTCTTTATTGATTAACCAATGAAAGTAACACATAAACAGAAGAACCTCCTACACCAGTAGCACATCACGCCCATCTGTGCTCTATGCGCTACCATACAGTTCGTGAACCAGGCAAGGGGCTGGAGATTAAAACACACAAAAACTCATAGACAGAGACATGGGTCATCCTTGAAACAAGAATTCCCCCTTTATTGTGTCCAGGGGCAGTTATATAGAGATCCTTAACTGATAGTCATACCCCAGCCAAACCCACCAGAAACCACTCCCCGGCCATCAGGAACTCCTTAGAATCTCATGTTCAGAATAGCTGCAAGCATTACAAGTTGTTTACCAGAAATTCAGGATCTGAGGGGTTCACAGCTCCCAACATCTCACCCCCTTTTTTATCCTTGTTTTCTTCTCCTTGAAAATCTTTTAGGGAATGTGGGCATCGTCAATCTGTCTGTCTGGTTCCAGCTGAGTGGAGGTGGTGCATTCTTGGGGATACTCCTTTTAACTTGTCTTTTAAACTTACTCTTCCTTCATCTCTGGGACTATACTCTGTCTTTTCTTTCATTCTTTTATGCTGTCTTTACTCTTTTTTGTACTCTTTTACTCTTTACTCTTTTTACTCTTTTCCTTTTTGAAGCCTTTCAATTCACCCTCCTGCCTCCTGTTTCAGAGGGCATCCCTCAGAGCGTCTCTGAGGATGAAGATACACATACCATTCTTCAATCCGCCCTCACCATTCCCAAGGGTGACCTCTCAGCGTTCCCTAGTTCCCCATCTTGGTGGGATCTCCTCTTGCCACACCTACATGGCCTGGAACCGGGGGAGCAGCTATATAGGAAGTATAGGTGGGAAAACCAGACAGGAAGTAGAAATGATGCAATGAGAACAGGAGAATTCTGGGAAGGAGGAAGTTGATTTCACCCACTCCTGTCCAGACCACTGAAGCAGCAGGATGTGATCTACCCCACTGAAAAAGGTACTGAGCCATATGGCTAACATAGATCAGAATAATGGGTTAATATAAGCTACAAGAGCTAATAAGTAGCCTGAGCTAATGGGCCAATCAGTTTTATAACTTATAGAGATCTCTGTGTGATTTTCTTTGGGGCTTGCTGGCTGTGGGGTACCGGGCAGGACAGAAAACCTCAAAAAGCAGGCCCCATTCATTGATACAACCAAGCCCCTCCCTGATACATTAAAACTGGGCACTTGCATGTCTTAATTATCTTTAACAGTTTATAGTAAGCTAGTAATCCTTCCAAGATTAGGGTTTTACATCTGTATCTCTGTTTGAGCCTTAAAAAAAAAATAACAGTTTCTGCGTTGAAGCTCTTTTAGTATTAAAATAAAACCTTAAATCATGACTACAGTCCATAGGGAGAATGGCAACTTTACTTTCCTGGTCCTTTCATAGTGCATTACAGAAAATGTTTCTTGTTTGACTTGGTTTATCAAAATAGTTAAAGCTTAACAAAGTTAGTAAAGACGAGGAGGTTAGACCATTCTTAAACCAGTCTCTGTTAGACCGAATAGACCTTATGTAAGTAGGTCTACTATCATGCTGTATCACAAGGTAGGAATATCCCAGTTTCTAGGGTTAAGTGTTTGATACTCATAGCTGTGGCCCTAATTTTAGCCTTTTATTTAGTATTTATCAAGATTACATATTAAAGATGGGTGGTGTACATCCTTTAATCCCAGCACTCGGGTGGCAAAGGCAGGCGGATCTCTGAGTTCGAGGCCAGATTGATCTACAGAGCGAGTTCCAGAACAGGCTCCAAAGCTACAGAGAAACCCTGTCTCAACCCCCCCCCAAAGATTACATATTAATAAAGACATCGTAATAAAATAACTTATAAATTTAAAATGTCACATAGCCTTGTAAGTTTATTTTTAAAACTGTTTCTTAAAATATCTAGTTTTTTTAATTTAAATTTTTGTGAAATTCCAAAATTTCTTTTTAAAGAAGTTTAAAATCTCTCAATTGTGTGCTCTTACAATATTTAAAGAACCTTTTTTATTTCAAAAGGGAAGATACAGGGCACAACCACAACTGCACATGGCAAAACCAAGTTCCAACAGTGCAAACCATTCAACGTTCAGCATTTTGGATTCATTCACAATTCTTCTGAGATTTCCCAGGGAGCTTGGGTCATCTCTCTGGCCCACCCTCAGCAGCATACACAGCCTGCTGTCTTGGTCCCAGCTCCCTCCATTTCATGGGGACTGCTGTTTCTGCTGACTGTCCCCTGGCACCAGAATCTTCACAATTGCTAAGGTTCCCCATTGCAACTGGGCTCGCTGTAGAACTCTAGCCCTGCCATACAGTGCCAAGTCTTAGCTTCCCTCCATGACCCCCTTGTGTGTTTAAACCAATACCCACCAGGGTGACTCTTACAAAGTTTGGCTGCCGGCAAGGTATGTTCTTGCATTTGGACACTTGGAGGTACTCCTTCAATGCCTGAGAGCAAAACATAAAGCAAAATACCTCTAACCTGCAAGCCCCTTGCCCAAGGACAGGTATTTCCTGAGAGGCTGGAGGCTGTTGTTTATGGCAGATAACAAGCCATATGTGTTTGCTCCCTTAAACAAGTTCATTTGCCCCAACTGCACCAGATGGGCTTATCACAGGTAGGCGGGAAGTATGTGGGCGGAAAGACATCAGGATATATGCTTGCCCCTCATTGGACCAGTTGGGAAATACGTAGCCTGATGGGTTTGCATTTTCAAGCCTCTGCAAAACGTGACTGATTGTCATTTTCTGGGAACCAAGGAATGGGTCAGAGTCCATCATCCTGATCTTTTGTATTTAATTAAAACTTGTTTCAAATTTGGCTCAAAAATTGTGGTAATGATCTTATTCTTGACAAGTGGGATTAACGCCAGTCCAGGATCTCTGCTGAGCCAACTTCTTTCTTCCCCTGAGTAATTTGCACAAAGAAAGTAAACAAAACAATGGCAAGACAATTATTTTTGTAAAAAGGGGGCATCATGGCCCACACCAGGCAAGCAAGCAGTCCACACAGCCAAGATGGTCTCTGTCTAAAAGACTCCCTTAAGGAGCCTGGCCCTTTCTCATTGGCTGAGGTTCACCCTCACAGTCTGCTCCTGATTGGTTCATTTGGAAAGCGCTCTGAAGAAAACTGGGAAGAGATTGGCCGCTGTGACTGAGCTCCAGAGTGCAGCACAGACCCTTGAGAAGCAGGAGTCTTGCCAAGTTCAGGAGAGTAAAAGATTTGATCTCCTTTACATGAAAATCCTGTAAGGTGGGGGGTATTTATGAAATATCGGTCCTTGACAGGCTAGCCACTTTTGATAGAAAAAAAAAAAACTGTCTTTCCTCTATGTCCCCAGCCGTAATATTTGTGATGATCTCAGCTGTGACGGCCAAACGCCCTTTAATGGCTTTCACAAGCCAGTCCATTAGTGTCTGGTTTCCCTCACGTCACCTCTCATGTCTCAAGGAGGAAAGGGTAGCTGTACTACTGTTTTCCTGTGTCCACAGCACGCACACCGATTCTTCCCGGCCCCTGTGCCACGGCCTCACCCGCACGCACACCGATTCTTCCCGGCCCCTGTGCCACGGCCTCACCCGCCAGGCTGCGACACACTCTTATTTCTTGCTTTAAAATATTTCCTGATTCAAGCAGTTCAATGGTAGAATACTCCCTGGTTATCGTAGTTTTCCGGGCTGCCAGACAGCAGAAAAACTACAGGGCAGACAAACACATAAATTATGACTTGTCTCTGTGGGGAGGGGAGAAATTCTGGATATGTTAGGGACGGTGCCAACAGGACCTGCTGGTGTTTGTTAGTGGATCTGAGAGGAACATTGCTGTGCAGGTGATGCTTTAGTCCATGCACCTATAAAGTCTCCGTGAACTGAAGGAACAAGCTCAGTTTGGCATAAACCGATTAAGCCCTGTTACTGAGACATTAAGGTGGGAAACACAAGACTAGGGGCGTCAAGGAAGAGAGGCTATGTCAGCACACAGTTAGAAACTGAGGCTAGGAGAGTGTGGAGGAGTCTGACTGGGGCAGGAGGGCACATGCTTGTAATCCCAGTACTTGGGAAGCTGAGGCAGGGGTTGAGAGCTGGGATCCATGAGCACCCAACCTCCAAGGGATCTGTGTGTCAAAAGTTAGGTCCTGGCGCAATCCCAATCCTCAGAAGATGACTAGGACACAGGAAAGGAGTGGCCTGGAGCCAGGAGAACCAGGGAGGTTTGGAGTTCTGGAAGCCTGATTCACAGGTGAAGAATTGATCCACAGATCCACATACTACTCGCTGAAGTAAGTGCTGGGACTGGGTGCAGCCAGGGACGGAGCATTGCTTAGCATGGGCAAAACCCTGGGCATAGCCTCTACGCTTAGGACTTTTAGCCTTTAGCACATGTCGAGGCCTTCCCTTCCCTGGGAAATGGCAATATCCAAACACTCTAGGAAAACATACAGCATAAAACACAGACTGTTCACCTCAGTTAAGTTCCCTGCCCCGGGAATTCCATAAATACAATCACAAGGTCTTACAGGAATTTGCTAAAACTTTTATTGCATTTACTGAGAGAATCACATTTCCCCATAGTAAAATGACTGTATTCTCCAAATTACAAATCACTCTTCATTAAAAAGGTTTTGATTGTCTGTATATGAAATATATAAATCACATTTTTAAAAAAATCAATTATAAAGTATATTACTTTAAAAGAAGCAGAATTTCTCAAAACTAGGAAAATATCCATGCTGGTCAGTCCAAGCATGGCACTTTCACACAGTTAGCTATATTTACACATCTATGGGAAGGTTGGCACCCCATGTAGGAGAGGAGGGGAGACGGGAGGGGGTGGCTGAGAGTGAAAGGGGAGCGGAGAGAGGAGGAGAGAGGGCGGGAGAGGCGTGCTCACATGGAGCGCTAGGAACGTTTGGAATATTTGGTTTTGCTAAGTGTTTGAACTTTCAAACTATATAAAATAATTTTTTCAGATAAACATTAAGATAAAATATAAGTAGAAATAGTAAGAAGATGCCAAGAGATACTTAAAACAGACAGTCTTTTTCTCAATACTGCTAAGTTCAGTCTGTTGTAGCTCTAACTTTCAAGCTGAGATAACCTGACGGGAGAAGGACAGGATGCAGCGCTATTTCTCGCGACACGGTACCTTTATAACTGTCGGGTCTTTGGCTCCCCTAATTAATCGCTACATCAGAAGCTGCTGTGGGAGGAACTCTGGAATATGGTCAGTAAGGCCCTCCTTGCACACGTAACTCACGATAATTAACAGGGAACCCAGCAGACCCAGCTGGGACCGCATGGTCTTTCTAGCTAACAAGACAACATTGGCAGTGAGGTTTGCTCATTCTTATGAAACAGTTGAGGCAAAGTCTGTGAAGGAAAGCGGGACTACACTAACCCCCATGACCGTGGTTGTCTGAATCCTTCTTACAGAAGCTCATGGACTGGGGCCTCCAGGTACCTCTTGGTGACATTTTTGGTGAGTCTGACACTGTCATAAGCATAGTGCTAGGAGCACCAGGCAGGAGCCCAACACTGTTGATCACAAGCATGGAACTGAGGTTTGTGGACATTGGCCCAGGTGCAGTTTTAGTCTGTCAGGGACTGGAGAGACAGCTCAGAGGTTAGGAGAACTGGCTGCTCTTCCAGAGGTCCTGAGTTCGATTCCCAGCAACCACATGGTGGCTCACAACCATCTGTAATGAGATCTGGTGCCCTCTTCTGACATGCAGACAAATATACAGAGAAAACGTTGTGTAAATAATAAATAAGTAAATACTTTTAAAAAAGTGAACTATCATTTTTTCTTTCTTTAAATTATTTATTTTTATTTAAAGTATATTGGTATTTTGCCTATATGTATACCTGTGTGAGGGTGTCAGATCCCCTGGAACTGGAGTTACAGACAGTTGTGAGCTGCCATGTGGGTCCCAAGAAATGAACCCGGGTACTTTTGAAGAGCAGTCAAGTGTTCTTAGTTGCTGAGCCATCTCTCCAGTCCCCAAACAAGGATACTTTCAATGAGAATTTTTTCAGATTACAAAAATACTCAGTAAGTAACTCAATATTCAAATTTTAAGACCAATGACTTAAAAAATTGACTTTAGGCTGAAAAAGTTAAATAGCTTAAATGTTCAAAATATCTCCTTAATCAAATCCAATTATAAGATACATATCCTTTTTTTCTTTTCTTTTTGACATCTTGTCATGAGTCTGGGGCTTTGGGCACGCAGGGCAAGCGCCCTACCACAGTGAGATATCCCCAATCCATGAGTGTTTTACACACTCACTCTGTGCTAGAAACACTAATGAGAGGCTTTTCTTTAAAGTTATTCTCTTAGGAGGCTATGTTCATTACAAAGGCTTAATTTGGTGGTCAATTTCTTGTAAATAAAACTTAAATCATTGAGTGTTAACAAAAACCGGATCCTGCCATGTATTTGAACTCAGTAATATCTTCATATGTAAAATTCCTCAAATGTATGTATAAAATACATGTATGGTTTTGTTGGTTGAACACATTTTCCATTGTCTTACAGTTTTTTAATATATATATATATGTAAATATATATATTGGGTCTGGAGAGGTGGCTCAACAGTTAAGAGCACTTGGTGCTCTTGAAAAGGACTTGAGTTCTGTTCCCAGCACCCACAGATTGGCTCACAATCTCCTGTAACTCTCTTGTTTTTTTGGAGGTGGGGGAGCATTCACTACTCCACCAGAGGACTGGAGTTCAGATCCCAGCTCCTCACAATACCCGAGCTCTAGCTCCAAGGGATAGGATGCCCCATTCTGGCCTCTGTGGCTACCTGTACAAACACATACATATATAAAATAAATCTTTAAAAGTAATTTAACAAGTTGTCTGTAGTTACTTATATGCTGAAAACATTACGTACTTTAGAACAATTGCCATTCCCAGGCTCCTGGTGGCTTCCCAGCTCTAACATGGCTTCTCAACATTATTTTGTGCTGAGAGTCCTTATTACATACAAGCTAATTCATGACTACAAGGCATTCTCCCTCCAGAACTCACTGAAACTGAAAGATACCTATAGTTAGATTTATTGAGAAACAGAAATTAGGTTGGGAACTTCTGGCTTGTATACCTATGCTACTGTTAGACTTGGTGAAAGTATTTGTAAACCTCCAGCAGGACAAATTCATGTCATGTTCCCTGTGCTACTTGGAAAAGCACCTCTCTCCCATGTGTTAACCCCGTGTGCCTGAACTCAACACTCAAGGAGACAGAAGACAGGAGTTATAGTGCACAGCACTAAACCCAGCAGGGGAGCCAGAGGCAGATGATCTCTCTGAGTTCTAGGCCAGCCAGGGTTACATGGTAAAACCTTCTCTAAAACAAGAAAGAAAGGACAATATGGTTAAGATATTTTCCTCCTGAGCCAGGGAGTGTAATCCCGGCATGCCTGTAATCCCAGCACTTGGGAGGCGGAGACAGGCAGATCTCTAGGAGATTCAGGCCAGCCTGCTCTACAGAGGGAGTTCCAGGACAGCAAAGGCTACACAAAGAAACCTTTGTCTGGAAAAACCAGTGTGTGTGTTTATGCGTGAACATACATACCTCCTGAAAGAGAACCTTTTGCAAAAAAATTGCCAAAGACCCTTCAATTTAAAACAGAAAAACAAAGGGTGCAGTAGTAAGCTGACGCTGGGCACGGGAGCACACACCTGTGATTCCTCCATTTAGCAAGCTGAAGCAGGAGGACCTCAAGTTCCAGTTCCTTCTGGACCACATATCAAGACTGCTTCCAAAAACCTAAAAGAGCTCTGTGAGTTTGAGCCAGTCTGGGCTACATAGTGAGCTCCAGGCCAGCTTAGGCTCCTTAGTGAGACCTTGCCTTAAAATGAAAACAGCTGCATCTATACAGTCTTGTAAGCTTATACCTTCAAAATCAAAATTACTGCCACACATGCCAGCACACCCCAGCGATTCCTACACAAGTCTGAAGCAACAGGAGAGAGCTGAAGGCCAATCTGATCTACTTAGACTCCATGTCATGATAAATAAATAATAAATAAATTACCGTTATTCAAACCCCCTTAAAAGAAATTGTACACTTAGCATGTAGGCTGTTACTTCCACGGTGGCAGGTGCGAAAGCCTGCTATGAAGAGGAAAAGTCTCCCAGGTTTCCTGAGGCAGTCTCACTTCCTCTGCCCTCTACCTCCCCCACCAAGCACAAGTCTGCGCTCTCTCCAGGTAGCCCCACCCCCAGCTAGAGAGAGAGAGGAAATGGCAGAAGGGAGAGAGCCAGGTAGTGAGATAGTAAGGTTATTTCTCACCTTCCAGATCACCTTGGAAGGATCCTGGAAGTGCTTAGGGAAAGATAATACATTTCACATGAACAAGCAAGCTACATTCAACTATGATTTAATATTCATCTAGGCTAATGATTTAAATACACTTTGCATTTTAATCTTTAAAGGTCTAAAATATAATTTCAAAGACATAGGAATGTATTCCTGTTTTTATAAATGAGTCATGGGCCATGGCCTGACTTTGGTTTAATTTTAGGTCCTCAAAGCTAATACCTTGGTTTCTACAGTCTGGACATAAATAGGGGATGGTGGGAATTAATACGGAGCACATGGCAGATAAATACCACACTGATTGTTTAGTCAAAAGAGGTACATACATAATACTGTGCTAACAAATCCTATCGGCTGGTTACCATGGCATCTCCTCAGTCTGTGCACATCAACTCTGTGCACATCCACTCTGACGGCGAGACAAGGAAAGCACCGGCCATCAGGCTTCTCAGTATCCCTGTCACTGGCACACGACTGTACACACAAATGCACATTTTTGCTAAAATTATTTTGAAATTTTAGGAATTATTTCTTCTCATAAGTATATTTAACCTTTTAGAACCATAATTCCGTAAGTCGATTTAAGCAATGATTTCTATCAGATATTTTTCTAATGTGTGAAACAGTCTATCCTACCTCCAATCGGTGCCCATTACACCAACTGATAGCATGCTCATTAAAACACTCACAATACAGTACCAATGAATCCAGAAGTCAGAAAAACCCTGTTAAAATTACCAGGAAAGCTTTTATACATTCTATTTACTTTATTGTCTACACAAAATCAGAAATTTGGTGTGTTTCTGGCTACTGGAGTAAAACACACTACAGACCAAGGGTAACAAAGGCGAGCAGAAGAAACGCCCGAGGGCTGCCTATGAGAGGCCCCATCATCTCAGACATCCTGGGTGTCCCATGACACCGGAGCACGTCAGAATCACCCACTTTCATAGCTTAGGCCATTCAACAGACTTGAGGTTTAGGTTTTTATCTAGGATCCAGGCTTGAATTTTGCAAAAAGTTACAAAATGCAGAAGAAACTAAAACACTGGAACTAAAAACACCAAAAGAAGCAACCAACAAAATACTTCCGGTATGAACCAAACTGCTACCCTTTCGCGTAGCTCTAAGTCCACTGTGTGTGTCTGGGCCGGCTACACAGCATCCATGGCTTCACGGCTGCCTGCCACTAAGACAGCTTTGAGTTCAGCTTCCAGATACGATGCTGTAACAGTCTCTTCCCAGTTCCTGGGAGTACCAAAGCTGTTTGGGGAGAGAAAATGGCTCCCATGGAGATAAAGGCTCCATTTCCCATTTGTGCTATTCCAAGGATGATTAAAAAAATAAGAAATTTGCAATTCATATAAAAGGGAAACTTCAAAAGCAAATCCAGTCAGGTGGAGGTATGTCTGGCATTAAATAATAGAGTCTGATTGTTTTTTGAAGATCCTGGAGGAGCTTGACAGCAGAGAGTTCTGGTTCTCCAGCATCTTCTCCATCTTCTCCCCTCCAGGGCTTCTACTCATCTCTCTCTGCTTCTTACTATGGATCCACGGGATTAAACAGAGCACAATGCCTCCAACAAAGGGAGGGATTCCAGCAAGATAAAAGGCCACATTATAGGAGCCCAGCTTGTCATGAAGTAACCCTGGAAACGGAAACAGCAGCTGTCACTAGGAGAGAACAGGTTTGGCTCCCAGGTCAGTCAACAGGCTTGGAATGTAAACCTTTCCTGATATGAGGAAGGAAAAAATATCTACCTAAAATTTTACTACTAAATTTTACTACCTAAAAATTTACTCCCTAGCATGTATCAGTGTCCCTAGCATGTATCAGTGTCCCTAGCATGTATCAGTGTCCCTAGCATGTATCAGTGTCCCTAGCATGTATCAGTGTCACTATCTTATTAGTTTTATGGCTGAATAATACTTACCCCTATCCATTGCATGGATGATATATTTTTGGTTTTGTTTACATTCTGATTTTTAACTGACTGGAGTCAAGTCTCATTATATAACCCCAGTACTCCTGGGACTCACTATGTAGACCAGGCTGGTCTTGAACTTGTAGTTCCCCGCCAGCAAATTGAGATTACAGGTGTGTACCACCATGCCCAGCCACATTATTTTCAAATTCATGGACAACCATGTTTTTCCACTACATGTAACTTTTCTTCAACCATTTCTCAGGGGGTGTGCTTCTTAAGTAAAAGTACTATATGCTTAGAAATCTATCTGAATCTTCATTTTTATGTTTCCATTTGTCTAACAAACTAACAGAACTGAAAAAAATTGAGGCTAAATGCATAGCTCAATAAAAGAATATATTTAGTACATTCCATGTCCAAGTTCAATGTCCAGAACTCACTTCCCAACAAGTAATTTTTTGTGGGGAATGTAGCTCAGATTTAAGTGCTTGTTTAGCATGTACAAAGCCCTACCTAGGCTTAATATATACGCACACACACATGCCTGCAGGGTGGCCCCCAATAAACATTTTAAACCTACTATCAACATATAGTTTTATTGAAAATGAGAGAGAGAAAACACACAATAACTATTAATATGTTAAATATATTTCACAAATAAAGAGGTTTAGGACCCAAAGTAGAAAACGCTATGAATTAGCACAATTACTATAGAATTGTTTTATTTACCTGCAACTGGAGGACCCACAGTCATGGGTATAGACATGAATCCCAGAAGAAATCCAATGGCTTGGGAAGCATCCTGAGGACCGACTAGTTCAAAGGCAATGGGAGCCATGATAGAAATGAAACATCCATCGAAGAGGCCCATGACAAGGCAGACAGCAATGAGGGCCCCAAAGACGCTGCACAGCGGAATCATCATGGACATGAAGCCAATGAAGAAAAAGGAGAGCACCTAGGACAGAAGACTTCACGTCAACACTGCTTTGAGGAAATGGACCCTCTCCTTCCTCTTGATCCGACAGAATCTGTTGGGAGCTATGGATCCCTGGCCCCTTGACTTTCTTGCCTCAGACCCTTTGCCTGCTGGAGTGATCTAAGCAAAACAACTTGTTTACCTTTGCCTGCAGCAGCTCTGAGCACAGACCTTGATGGCAGCTGGTGGGTCTGCAGCTGAAAGACCCCAAGAGCTGGGGCGTGGCCAGAGCCCTATATAACCTTTCCCTCAGCACAATAAACTTGGCATTCTTGTGTCAAGAATGACTCATTTCCTCGAGTCTCTGTGTGTGTGTGTCTTTGTGTGCGTGTGATTTAAGTCTCCAGGCCAGTCAGTTCCCGGCTCGCATAACCAGCCCTGTTGTGCAGGTGCTATAGGACCGTCAGTTTTTACAAGAATCAACTTTCCCGAGAGCCTCTTGTGTTTTCTTACTATTTTGTCAGAAAACAAGAATGTAACCATTTTATACAGCAACCTTCCTTCCCAGCCTACACATTCTTTGGACAGAATCTATATATGTTTTCCATCTTTGGACTAGATATTACGAGGCTTAGTAAGGTTTAGAGATCTTGCACCGGGGTCAATACTGGCAGCCCGTATTTACTCATCGAGTACTTGATTATGTTTTTAACCCATGACGTCATTACACTTTCTAAATAAATATTATAGATCATGTCTGAGCACTGAAGCATTAAAGTTCAGAATATTTATTTTGAGTCACCAAACATCTTAAGGTTAGGGTAGTTAATTCAACCAAACCCCCGATTTTGCCTGCCATTTAGTAAGTATTACGCTACACAGAGATTTACACACTGAATAAGGCATGATTCTTCCTCTTAGGCTCTGGAGAGAAGAACATTTAAATAAAAAGTACGAATGAAATATTTTAGAGGATGCCATAGTCATAAATGTAAACTGTAGTGGGTACAAACAGTGGGGAGAGAACACGTAGTCAGTAACCTCTCAAGAAATAATTAAAGCTGGATAACTGGCTGGGTGTGGTGGTTTTATTCAGAATTTCACAAATGGAGGTAGGAGAATCAACAGTTTAAGGCCAGTCTAATATATATCGAGAGCCTGTCTCAAAACTAAAACAAAGAATCAGAGAGACAGCTCAGCAAGTACAGGTTCTTGCTGCCAAAGCTGAGAACCTGAGTTCCAGGCCCAAGGCTTTGTGTCCTGAATTAACAGAATGGGGAATTTGGGCAAGAGGCTATGCTAGAAGAATGTGAGATTGTGGGTCTCAGCTGACATAAAAAGAGAACAGGGATTTCTCAAGGTCAGGGAGCTTAAGACACTGTCTTGTACCAATCAGCACACCAGCCGCTCTTGCCTTCCTCTATGGTGCCCTTTGCTGCAGAATGTTGTATTATAAAATGGCTTCATTTTCACTAGACCTCTCTTGAATTTGTTGTTATAAAATGAAGACTGTGTTTCCTATACTAAGGGAAGCCAAGTGGGAACTCAAGCATGAACCTGGAGTCAGGAACCAAAGCTGAGGGCAGCTGAATGCTGTTTACTGACTGGCTCTCCTCTGCAAGCCCACTGGCTGGGCCCTCCCATGCCAATCATTAATCAGAAATTAATCAAGAAATTACAGAGGCATTTTCTCAGCTGAGAGTTCTTTTCCCTAAATGACTCTAGTTTATATCAAGTTGACATAAAAACTAACCAACACAACCAGGCTCTAGCCCTCTACGATCCTGAACAAGCAAAAAACATGCTTATTCTTGAGACAAAAAGGCCTAAATAGAAACAAAAGGTGAAAATAAAACGTCTAAAAGGTAACAAGTAGGCAAAGAGTTAAGGAGTTATTTTTAGTCAAAAAGTTAACCAGGTGTTGTCACCACGTGATGCCTCTGCTATATTAAGAAGTACTGAGAAATGACACCAGGAGCCAGCCAACATCACAGACTTCCCATCCCCCAGAACAGTGAGCTAAATAAAATCTCCAGTCTCTCCTAAGAAGGGGGAAGACGAGGTAAAGCGCCGGGAGAGACAAAGCCTACTAACCATAGTTACAGATACATTTTTGTTCTGTTGGTAACTATGAGAGGAGATAAACATGAACAGTCTCGGAAACATTCGCAATCAAACAAACTCCAGGAAATCTAAACTGCCTAATTAAATCTTGCTTTCTTGTGTTTGGCTTGGCTGAAACAGATCATGCCATAGACCCCAGGCTGGTCTTGAACTCACAATCCTACTGCTTTCATCTCCTGAGTGCTAGGGGTTACAGGTGAGAATTATCATGCCTGGTTTAAATTTGGTGCCCTTCACTGATAAAAATCACAGACCAGATTTCCAGCCCCCTCACCATAATTATAAAGAAAGGATGCACATACACACGTACCTTGTCTCTCTTCCTATTTTGTTCAATACAAATTTCTGTCAAGAAAGCCAGCTCTGGGGGTTAAACTCACCACACTGACAGCTAGTGAGTACTTGGCACTTGATAGCTTCATTCAGTATCAGGCACAAACTCGATTTTGCTTAATAACAAATGTTTTCATGGAACAATTAATTTAATATAATAAGATCCAGGCACTTTAATTTTGTTTGTCTGCTTGTTTGTTAAAGTATTTCTGTACACCTAGGGCATGTCTCAATCTTTTCCTAACCACAAGGCCCTTTTCAGTTTAAACTATAATAATGTATGTTCTTTCTTTCTCAGATATTTGAAAAGATTTATTATTGTTGTTGCTCTTTTAAGATATAGTATAGCAATATATCCTCAAACTCAAAATCCCCCTGCCCCAACATTTTGAGTACAGAATGACAGACATGCACTGATATGCCTACCTTAAGACATATTAACTTGGAACTAGAGAGACAGTCAGAGCACTGGTTAAGAGCACTGACCGCTCTTCCAGAGGACCTGGGTTCTGTACACACACGGCCACTAACAACAGTCTGTGACTCCAGCTGCAGGGGATCTGACACCGTCTCTGGGTTCTGCAGCATCAGGCACATATGTGGCACACAGATAAACATGCAGGGAAAACACCCATACATACAAAATGAAAAAAAAATCATTTAATTAGAAAGATTTTTTATTTTCCTTTGAGGATTGAACCCTTAAGTTCATTCACACAGACAGCTTATTCTTTACGCATTTCAGAAAAATACTTAGTTTCTTTTACCTTATTTGTATTGAAGGAAGATTCTTGGGAAGAAGTTGCCCCCACAGAACCTTCATGGCCCACTGACTTATTAGAACTTCAACGATGTTGAAGAGTTCAGAATATTACAAGTCCAGAATCAAATTATCTTGGGCCATCTTTAGCCCATCAGTAGCCATTTCCTGCCCACTTTGTGTGTGAGCTAACATCCTTGTGGCCATTGGGAAAGTGTTCTTCAGTGTGCCAGTACCGCCAACCAAACGGCTGAGTTCCATCACAGCGCCTAAGCCTCCCACTTCCTCACTTCGCTTTAACACACTTACCTAATGTTTCTACCGATGCATTTGAAAAGTACCTCTATTCAAGGCTCTGTCACTATATAAACCTCGCCAAATGGTCACCACTTTAGAGCACAGTATTTGGAGGAACCTAATCTATGTTCTGGAGCCATGGTCACTCACACTTGGCTCCAGAATAAACTCTTACTTTCTCTGAGGCGAGGGCTGTGTTTTGCGTCCAGCTGGTCAAAACATCACTGCTGTGAGGAATAAACACTCTCCCTTATAAACTGGGATACCTGGGCCACACAGGAGGGCCACTGCTTCCTCATCACTTCCATATAAATACCAGATATACAGATCAAATATTGATCTGTCAATTCCAGAACTCAGTTTGAAAGATAATGTTCCATTACATAATCTTTTTCTTTTTTTTCCCTAAGCACAGCAGTTCTGCGGCAACAACACAGGCCCTTCCTACTCGAGACATTGGACTCAAGAGGAAAGCTAGGCTGCACCTGAATAAGCATAAGGAATTTTTGGAGGCAGACACATAACTGGGCACAGTTAAATTCCAATGTTACCACTAATATACTTATTTAACATAATGTTTCCAGACTTTCTAAGCCTCAAGTCCTGGGCAACTTGCACTTAATGAATGGAATGACGAGGCCAGGGGACTTGAGGGCTGGATTCTTCTGAAGCATGCAGGGCCTGTAGTGCTCCACAGGAGAGGGAGAGCTTGGCTTTCTCCTCAGAACTAGGCACATTCACAGCAGTGCAGTCTACGTGAGACTGTGGTGCTTCTGAGCCCTTGTTTAGGCTGGGGGATATTAATTATTTGGATACTACCTTAGTAGTCTGTAAAGTCCATATCTTCTTGTAAAATGCTAGTAGTCAATAAAATGAACAGCAGAGCAAAGTAGCACTGACCAGTTCAGTCTTTACAACAGAAGACAACGTTAACACATGAAGAGGGTATGGACATCATTCTAATTACATATGTAACCCATGAACATATTCCCCTAGCAATTCATATTTTAGAGAAATGTCCACAGTAAAGCATAACAGGCTTTCTTCAATCCCTCAAGCCCTCATCTTATACTGTGCTTCAGAATGACCACTCAACAGTCCCAGGGCATGCGTCCACATGCATGTTGACACATTTATACATATGGATATGATGTCCATACGAGGGACTAGAAGTTAGATAAATTCCATGGTAGACAGATATACGGAAGAGGGACTGGATCTAGGTAATAAAGGTGGCGAACTTCCAAGATGGCTGGTCTTCCTCAGCCTCCAGACCTGAGACAAAATTCTGACATCAGACAAAGACCTGGAGGCCCCTTTATCCCCTTCCTCCCCAGAAGGGTCTCAGCTGATGGACTGGGTCAAGAAGTTCAAGGCAGATCAGGACATGTTTACACAACAATTGTGGGCCAATCAGCCACCAACCCTAAATTAAGGAAGGAAGACCCTTCACAGACTTAAAACCCCATCCTTGGATGGAGTGTGGTTAGTGGCTCCTAACAGCCTCAGGACACACAAATGTGTGTTCTTGACTCTTGACTGCCTTCATTGAAGCAGTCACCCCTTCGGACACTTAGCAGGTGCCACTGGATATCACAAACACCTCTCCATCTGGATGAACAAACTTAGACAGCAGCCATGGTGGTACACATCTGTAATCCAAGTACTAGAAAGTCTGAGGCAGGAGGACTACAGTGAGTTTGAGGATAGCTTGAGCTGCGTAGTAAATTGAAGACTTAGCAAAGACCCTGTCTCAAAAATAATAAGCTACCACCATACCCAACATTCTGGACAGAACCCAAACACAAGGTAAGCCACAAAACAGCAGGTGTCCTCTCCCACACTTTCATGTCCTTCCCTGTAAAACACACACACACACACACACACACACACACACACACACACAATCTATAGTGACCTTAAATTGATAACCATTCTCCAACAAAGAAAAGACTCTAGGCTCTGAAGCCCTGGATAACTGGCCCCTCCCAGCTTTCCAGCTTCTTCCATGTCAGTCTCCTTTGTCTTGGTCCAAACACTCCCAGATTTTCCCAGCTATAACCCTGCTCTAGGAACTCAGGAACCCTGTCTATTCTGTTTGTGTCACTCTACCCGGGCTAATACCTAAGAATGCAGAAGTACTCAGAATTGTTTTTACAAAATGAAAACTGAAAGTCGTCAATACAACCAATATCCAGAAGAGGGCACCTTGACATTAGAAATCTAGTCAGCTAAAAGCTAGATAAATAGATCTACAATGAGGTATTATAAAGGGTGGAATGATTATCATATAATAAATAAATACTTTCATTGTTGAACTTGAGACAGGGTCTTGCTCTGAAGCCCAAGCTGGCCTCATGC